ACTTAAAGATTAAATATAGATAAAATAATATCAGAAAAACTAAAAACAAAGTTTAAAAAAAATTGTAAACAGATTTTAGACAATGATAATTTAACAAAGGGAAAAATCACAAAAATAAATTGCGCACTTACAGAGAACTGAAAACAGATTTTGGCTTTGAAAACTACTTACATGTAGTCAAAAATACTCATCACAGGTCATCAATGACAAAATTGAGGATTAGTGCTCACAGACTACAAATAGAGACTGGGAGATATAACACAGATATATCTGACAGAAAATGTCTATGTTGTGAAAATAACGCCATAGAGAACGAAGAACATTTTCTTTTAACATGTGATCTCTACGCGGGAGAAAGAAAAAAACTTTATCAGCTGTTATCACCCCAACACTTAGCAAACAAAGAAAAATTAAAATATATTTTAAATAATAAAGATGAGAAAACAATAATACAAATAGCAAAATACATAGAGAACGGTTTCAAAACAAGAGAGGAAAAACTGAAAACATTATAGTCAGCTAACTCAAGATAAGGTCATGTACATGCAGTAGTAATCTAAACATTCACCAACACAAATATGGAAAACAATCCAATTTACTTTACCATTATTGGTAAGTAGGTAGAAAACAAACATCAATACAATAAACTAAAACCAAATGACACAATACATTACAAAATATGCTAAAAATATGCTAATAAATATGCTAAAAAATATGCTAATAAATACAATAACAATGCAATTTTTAATTATCTGGTTCTCAAAATACAAGGATTTCAACATTTGAACTTTCATCTAATTAATTAAAATATTATATACAGACAAAATCATAATTGAATTGCTTTACATGAACACATCTTGTCTTCCTTACATAATAATTACATATGGCTAGTTTCAGGTTGAAATAAAATTGTGTGGCTAATTAAATAAGTAATACAAATTGTGTATGCCTGAAACAAGACTGAAAGTATCTGGTGTATACTTATGAAATGTAGTGTCTAATCCTGAGTATGCTGTAATGTTAACTGTTATCATTACTGGCATGAATAATCATCATTAAGTGTGATAACTCGGTTTTCTTTTCTGGCTTTCTCAGCAGCAAACACTAGTAAATGGCTTGCGAGAATTTCCTGTACACCAGTGCATATCTTGGATGTGTCATTAGTCTGGAAGAGAAATCAATATGATATAAAATAACTATTCTAAAGCAATTATTGAATCCTACATCACATAATTTGTTCAAATTAGTTGAAAGAGGACAGACAGTTTTGATTACAATTTATTATTTTATTTGTGAGGTTGAAAATTTAGGCGTTAAATGGCATTGTTTTTTTCTAGTTCTCATAAAAAAAATAAAAAGGTATATGGTCCTATGTGATGCTAAAAATTGCCTGAATAATATACAAATTAGGTGATTATTATGCAAAAACTAATCAGAGCTGTGCATTATCCCAGAACATATATGTACCATGTTTCCTTGAAATCTAATAATTGGTTCTTGAGATATCAGGAGAACAAGCAAACAAATTGTAACCCCTTTACTTTATGTAAAAACATTGCATACCATCTACAAGCAAACATGATAATCACTATAAATCGATAAGAAATAACAATATATTGAAGAGGTCGTGTGCGACTGTTGTGTGACATGAACTCTTAATACATGGACAGTAAAAGCAACAATAATAGATTAGCAACAAATTAACTGACAGAACATGATGTGAGCATGTGTGTGTATGTATGTGTCATTGACATTATTCAAGTAATCTGTACAGCAAGTCATGGGATGCTTGACAACATGGTGATAATAGGCCTGTTTAAAGATAGCCCAACTTTCAGCAAAACAGTTCTCTCAGCAACTGTTCAGCAAATGCTGTTTGCAAGAAGGTTTTTTAAGAGACGCCACACTAAATACACACTCCAACATGGACCATCTCATAGGTAGGCTGCTGTGTGTAAGCAATAGTTGACTCAACCAGAATGGCAATATCAGTTTTGTGATGTGTTGCTCAACAGAGACATTATCTCAGTAAAAATTGATTGTCAGTGAGTACCAAGCCAGCAGTGACGCGAGCCAAATTGGTGGATGCTAAAATTAAAATAATGCTGTGAATATTTGTGATGGGATTTGCCATTCTGTGCTGTCGAAGATGAAAAAGATGTGTATTCTCTGATGAGATGGCACATGAGTAAAATGGTGTGCATAGTGCAACCAAAGAGAATCTCTACTGCAAGGTTGTTGAGACATAGGGATCATGTCCATTGCTGATGGCCATGGTGTATTATGTTTTATATCTTCTGACATACAACAATCATAAATGTTAACACTATACACCCACAGACGAGTACCAGTGAAGCTAAATTTGAATAAAATCTATATGGCTGTGAAACATGTTCAAATTTGTTGATTTTTGTTTTGAATGGTTGCCAGTTTGATAAATTTTATCAAAATACCTGCAACCCTTTATGTCTTGTATTTGTGATGAATTTAAGCAAAATGACCTGTCTCTATAATTCACTACGACGGATTTCATTACCAGGATTGAATGAATTTGGTGTTTTTCAGGACAAAACCACTCACCAACAAGTTAAGGGGCAACCAAGCAAAAACAAAATGATGTGAAAATGTATTGTAATATAACTTGTTTTTGTAACAACTTTGAATAAAATCAGTCCAGACATGTCTGAGAATTGATACCAGACAACACACAAACACCCAGACGTATAGACAGAAACCAAAACTCAGACCAGTTGTGACCAACTAGACCAGGTGTGAAAATTATCATACACCACTTTAATATGTAATATGTAATTTTATAGTTTTGTTGCAGGTATACATGTAGTAAAGGCCCATGTCTAAGTTAGACTAAGTAAAAACTTACTGAAACAGCTTTCACAAATGCATCCATTAGCTGAAAATCTGCATAATCATGCCCCGCACCGTTTATTCCAGGAAAATACTCAGATGATTCAGAAGTGAATTCATGGAGGATGACATTATCACCATTATATCTTATCTCCCCCTGTTAAGATAAAAAGAGTGAAGACAGAAAAATTGTGATGATTGAGTTGGATCACTAATCAGGATTAGGGTATTATACAAATTAGATTGAATTTGAATCCATATAAACGCAATCCTCCATAGGAATGCAATTTAATTAAGATTTAAATGAATCCAATTAAAAATTGTATTTAATTGAATTTAAGTCAGTAAAAATAACAACATAAAAATTGGAACTTGATTTACAATTATTTGCATAGTCTGGTAATAGAAGGGGGTAAGGTGTGATACAAATTACCATCAATCTATTACACTAAGCTACTATTTAATTAGATTAAATATTAATAAATTTGTAAATTGTAAATTGTGGTTTAGTGGTTGCCCATCTTAAACATGTATTTGTTAATTTACTGCCATATACAAGCATTACATGTCATGGTATGGTATGAATATAAATCATGTACTAGATGACATGCTAGTAAATTTTACCTTTGTACCATATATTACAGTCTCTCTGTTACAGACACGTTCTGTGAATGCCATCATTGTCAGCGATGCCGTTTTACAGCCATCAAACATGAAATTCACAACTTGGTTATCACAGACATCATTATCACATTCATACACACATCGGCCATATGGTCCTGTTTGTAGTGCTTCAGTTATGCTTTCAATATCAGGGACTTCACAGACGACAGATATCGGCCATCCTGTATCACCCTGTATTCAATTAATAGCGCTACATGTAAGTACATAATCTATAATAATAACCTATAAAATATAATCATGTACCAAAATTATGGAAACTTGCCACTTACAAAATATTTCTTCAGATTATCTCTAAAGTATGCATCAGAAAATATTTAGAAGCCGATGAAAACTTTTAATAACTTAGAATTATTGCATTCAGAATTTATTTTAATATTTCAAAGGAATTAATGATGATGTATTGTAGAACCCACTCAATAGTAATTTGGAATCATATGAAGTGGAATAAAACTAGGTAAGGTAAAGGGTAATAATTAAAGGCCCAGGTATACTATAAATGCGCTCCTAAACAATAGGGATTATTTCCTTGCTTGTCATGCTGTAGTAAACAGCTCCAGTCAAGTTCCGGTAAAAATGCATTTTCTCTAATTTACAGGTCGATTATGTGGATGTATGAGACTATGAATATCACATCAGTGACTGTGTGTAGTATTTATTACAATAAATAGTGTACGATTTGAGATTTTGAGATAAAAGTAAAAATCAAAGAAAGCTTAGAAAGAACTCCCATGTGCTGAGAAGTATTGGAGACACATTAAATATAATTTAAAATTACTTAGCTGAAAACTAATTATGCAAATCAGAAAATTAACATGAACAGATTTGATTGTAAAATTCATTGAAATGTGATGATTAGTACTTTAGATATCAGTAGAAAAGCTGAAAATTAATTATGCAAATTAGGTAATTAATATGCACAATTATTTACCCTGAAACTAATCAGGTCTCTGCATAGTCCTAAAGGATCTATGTACCAAGTTTCATTGAAATGCGATGATTAGTACTTGAGATACCCGTGGAAAAGCTGAAAATTAACTAATTATGCAAATTAGGTGATTAATATACACAAATATTTATCCGAAACAATCAATCTCTGCATAGTCCTTGAGTATGTAAGTACCAAGTTTCATTGAAATGTATGCTCACTACTTATATCAAAAGCTGAAAATTAATTAATTATGCAAATTAGGTAATTATATGTACTGATATTACCATAAAAACTATCAGGTCTGTGCAGTGTCTATGACATCTATGTACCAAGTTTCATTGAAATGTGATGATTAGTACTTGAGATATCAGTGGAAAAACCGAAAATTGACTAATCATTATGCAAATTAGGTAATTAGTATCCACGGATTATTACCAAAAACTAATCAAAACCTAGCATTAGTTCAGAAAATCTATGTACCAAGTTTCATCAAAATCCAATGAGTGGTTGTTTAGATATCAGTGGAACAGTCATGGAACCACTAAAAAATAGCTAATTATCATGCAAATTAGGTAATTAATATGCACGGATTTTTACCAAAAACTAACGAAATCTGCGCATATGTTCAGAGCATCTATGTACCAAGTTTCATCAAAATCCAATGAGTGGTTCTTTAGATATCAATGGAACAGTCATAGAACAGCTAAAAATTAGCTAATTATCATGCAAATTAGGTAATTAACGAGCATGGATTTTTACCAAAACCTAATCAAATCTGCGCATTGGCCCAGAGCATCTATGCACCAAGTTTCATCAAAAACTGATGTATGGTTCTTGAGATAGCAGTGGAACAGTCGGACACACATACACACATACACACACACATACACACATACACACACACATACAGACACACTAACTGCAAAGACTCCCATTTTGTGCTTCGCACATGGGAGTCAAAAAAGAAAATAACATTACATAAACCCATGACAATCACATAACTGGCGCCCTCCATTGACAACTTTGAGAAACAATAACAAGACATTCAATTTACCTTTTTCTCTGTTCAAGTTCCCAATCTAATCTGGCTAATCTCAACTGATGAGGATCTCGGTTTGTTTTTTCAGGTTTAGATATTTCTCCCGGTGCCTTTTCATAGAAGTCTGACACATCAACAAGATCTATATCTTCATCCATAGAACTGTAAGCAAAGAAAAAAGATCAAATAAATTAAAATTTAATATAGCATGAGAGCTTACCTAACAGTTTTATATACTGTGGAATACTTTATTTTCACTGGAATTAATTTTCGCTGAAAAGGCTTAGTGGGCGTTTTGTGTGGAACTTATTTTCACTGATTTTTGATGAGTTTAATGTGAAATATAGGAAAAAAAGTATATTCGTTGAATTTTATTTTCACGGAATTATTCCTTCAGCGAAAATAAATTCCAAGCGAAAATAAAGTATTCTACAGTATACCAAACTTATTTTCTCAGAAATAATTTTTTCATCTGAAACAAGATTTACAAGTACAAGGAAGTTAGGAAACTTTGATAAAGCATGTAAAAGATGTTTTAACTACTAGTATTGATACTCACGTAAATTCCAAACACTTTGTAACTTCTTTCTGTAGATGCATCGCTTCATACAACAAATTCTGCAACTGTAGATGGAAACTGTCCACTTTCTGTTTGGATTCATGTGTGGAATCTTTTGACTTCTTACTTCGTATGTGTGCAATGCGATTTAATTTCTTAAGAGTCACAAAATTTAAAGATGATTGGATTCGTCTTGCCGTCATCTCGCCAGTCTATAAAACAATAAATTTAATAAAAAAATTTATTAAAGATAACTTGTATGAAAATACAAAAATAACAGTAAATTAAAAAGAAAATTACTTACATTATCTTTAACACCTTTCATCTTCATATCATAAATTTCTTTCATTAATTTCTTGATATCATTTGAAGCAGCTGAAAATATTGCTTGGTCTTTTACTGGATCTCTCTGATCAACTTCTCTTTCTTCACTGTATACAAATTCCTATAATCCACATATACAAAGTTTTAACTTATTTCATTGTGAATGACACAGTTCATGACGATACCGTACTCGACCGCGTTAGCGCCCAGGGGCCTCAACTCAGAAAATCACGATTTTTTTAGGGGTGGGCGCTTACCCGAGCACTCCCCTCGGGAAAATGAAAATTTTGATTCATCATGCGACAGATATTACGTCTTTGAGGGAAAATCAGTGAAGTGAATTATCGATGTCGAAGTACGATCTGTTGGAATTGAATTCAGCGAAGAAACGACATGTTTTTTTTCCAAAAAACTGGTAACTAGCCATTTTTGAGAGGTAAACTGAATATGGCATGAACTATTTACCGCATTTTTATTTGTATCAACAGGTCATTGTCAAAGCATAGTTTACGCACGGTTACCGTGGTCTGCGCATTCACAACATATTCACAGCGGTCGATAGTTGATATCCACGCTGTATCATATAAAAACGATTACTAAGATTTGTTACGTAATTATCAAAGACCAAGTTTTAAATTAGTTGCATTTTGAAGGGGTGGGCGCTTAGCCGAATGTAACCCCGAATATAAAAATTGCACAAAAGTGGAGGGTGGGCGCTTGACTGGGCATGGACGCTAACGCGGTCGAGTACGGTAATTGAAGTGTCTTAACATATTGGAATTTTTATACAATCCAGAGAAAGAGACCTGAAGAAAAAACAATATGGCAGGCAGTCAGCCATTCTGAATCAGAATTTGAAAACCAACATTATTTTCATCATCCAAAGTTTGATTGAAATTAGCCCAGTCATTTCTGAGAGCAGGTTGTAAACATGTTCAAGTATTAGGATTTAATCCGATTTACTTCCAAAATGAGTCAGTGAGTGACTTTATCTGTTGGTACGGTAGAGACTATTCGCACCATATTTGTGCATATAATAGAATACTGTAAAATGACTAATTTTCACTGGGTATAAATTTTGCTGATTTACCATTTCAGGCATATTTAGTGGGTTTTAAATTCACGGTTTTGTCATTTAGATAATGTGTGCTAAATTTTACATATTCACTGAGTTTTAATTTAGTGCATTTTCCAGTCAGCGAAATAAGCAAAATTAAAACCCAGTAAATAATTACCATTTTACAGGAGCTTTGCATCGCATTGGTGCAAATAACAGAAATAGATACATAATTCTCACTGAATTTGTAAATAGCAGAAAGATATCAACTATTCACACTATTTCATTTATTACACCACAGTCCCACTATCCATCTACAGCGGGACTGTGATTACACCACAGCTAAAAATAAATTACAGCGCAATAAATAAATAAATATTGTATATAGCAGATAATATTGGTAATCATTGTCCTAAGTACATTTGTAACTACTATTATTATACATCTGTCATCGTAACACCATAAGTTACAGCCTGCCATAATTTTGCGGTATTGCACTGGGTATTTTCATCCTACTATATTAGGAAATGCAAATTCCAAATATGGAATGATTACATGCATAAACGTTCTCTAATAATAACAAACAAACATGGCTGCCCCAGAGTTTGACCAGACCCCACACAAAAAAGTTTGCTAAATCTGTACTAAACGTTTTAGATTTTGGCATTCCCATGATGTATTCCTGGGAGGAAAAGATGTATAATAATAAGGTTATTACGAGGATACTGCAAAGTATGCACTCAGACAGTATGTGGTCGCATCGACCTTGGCTGCACGTCGGCCGATACTGTACTGTACTCTCTTCATGCATACTTTGCAGTATCTTCGTAATTTATTTATCTTATTTCAGACTGTCAAACATTTGAAAGTCCATATAAAACAAGTAGGAAAAATAAATAAATAAATGAACAAGACATATATGTATGTAGGCCAACAGAAATGAATGAAGAAAAATTACCTCATACTCATAGTATTCAAAATAAATATTGTATTGTAAATAAATATAAATATTGTATTTGGAAGTGAGTGTCAGAAAATTTCACTCACCGATCAGCATTTTAGAGAGAAAATAAAACTATTTCTGCGGGGATACTATATTATCTCAGTGTGATACACACACACATACGAGTATGCTGTAGTTTTACATGTAGCAGTTCCCATTGTCATATGTTGCTTGGGCTTCGCTACGTCCCCATAACATCGGCAAGTTTACCAGACACTATGAGTGTACCCACCTTATCATAGGACGATAATTTTACTTTCTTGGGATCTTTCGAACTGACAGATACATCGCTTAATGGACGTGTTGTTCTACGGCGTGTTTTTTTCTGTGAAAGTGATGTACTTGAAGACATTTTGGCCGATCTATAATGTTATAAATGTAATACACGCTGGTTGACGCTATTTCCGAAAACGAGGACAAACCCTTTGAACCTTGAACTCTGCCTCGTTCCCTGATATAGTATTTATATCAGGCGGAAACAAAATATTACCTAATGTACAATTTGTATAATTATAGTCAACTTGTTTAATAAATTAATATTAATATACAATCAAATGAAAGGATAAATATACTCAGTTGATGGAGAGATAAACGATTTTTTTTACTACTCATGGCGACTGAGGCTGCTATGTGTATACATACACGCATAATGGCCGACAGTGAAGATTTGGATTTTAATCCGTTCTACAAACTTCTACAGGTAATTGCATGTTTCTGTGATCAAGTACAATTGTATCATTATTGAGGGATAATACATGATTTGTGAGTTTGTATAAAAGCATGGCATTTAATTAATCAATTGACAAGTTAAAGTTGACGTCATAAGTGAAACTGGAGCACCATATTTTGGGCCGGTGGAGAAAGTAGAAAACTGTAGTCTCGAGTTGTTTCAAATAATAGTAATATACTGTAGGTTGTTTATTATTTGGCGCCGTAGACGATATTTACTTGAGAACCTCTCATCGTCTTTATTTTGACCACGTCGTAGGTCATATACTCATCGCCCTCTGTGTCAAAATTCAGAAATGCTTTCTTTTTGTTTTCCACAGAATCCCTCATTTACATCAGTGTTTCCGGAAACGTTGTGTGATTTTGTGATCATCCCACAATTGGGGTGACTTCTTCAATTCCCATGAGATAGTCATGATCATTGCATTTGCTTTAATATTTATTGTAGTTTTTTAGGAAAATATGTTTCTAAAGATACAATAAATTTATCATATTATTGCAGCAAATCACTTGCATACCATCATCTTACAAATGTACATTGTCATTTTATATGCTATTTTCTTTGTTTTTAGTTAAATTCCTGAATTGATGAATTTTTGAAACTATTACTTTAAATTTGGCAATTGTTCGGTCCATATTAAGCAGTTGATCTGTGTTACTAGTATTAACATGTAATATTGTATTAATTAATTTGTTTATTTCTACAGACTAGATTTATGAATAAATTTGAAACTGCCCAGAAAAAATGTTATCTTGTGTGTATCCCTGCAGCGACAGCACTTCAAGGAATCAATATCAATCAAAACTTTGTAGGTATGTATGATGTTTTGAAATAGTTTCCTTCAACAACTCACATCAAGACGGCAGGCTTTTTGTAAGTCTTTGTCCACCACTGTCGTCCTAGGTATTCGACTTTTGTTCTCTTATGATGAGTTAATAACACCAACGAATTGTTTCCCTCAGCATTGTGTAAGTTAGATATGTGTTTGTGTACCACTACTGCTTTTCCTAGGCTTCAGTGACCGCGTCTCGTGATTCACAAGTGATCCTTTGTCGTTGGTAATTAACATAAAATGGTGGGCTTTTTGTAAGTCTGCGTCAACTACTGTCGTCCTGGGAACTTGACTTTTTTTCAGATACGTGTTTGTGTACTGCCACTGCTTTCCTTGGGCTTCGGTTTCCCTCTGAATTGTGTAAGATAAATATGTGTTTGTGTACCACTACTGCTTTCCTTATGCTTCGGTTATTTTTTCCACAAATAAAAAAGAAAATCAGCAATCGACGTTGGTCTTGAAAAACACCCAAAAATATTTTATCTTTATTTAAAAACCTAATTCGTAACTAGAGTGAGCAGTCAGTAAAATATCCTATCTCTGGTCTTTATTTTTAAACCTAAATCGTAACTAGAATGGTTCAAAGCAGCCTGTAAAATAAAACAAAGGCAGCATGTTACTTAAGGATCTGTCAATCAACCACACCATGCTAACTAATTGACCTGTCAATCAACCACATCATGCTAACTAGCCCACAGCCGCCACCCCCCACCTAAATGATATACGGTAGTCCGGCACGCAAGTTGTTGGCGCTTAAATTGACAACATCCGACTTGTTCAACTAATACCATCAAGGCTACAACTGGCTTATTGTTACTGCAGTAATGTGATACAAAGTCTGGTCATCATACTTTAATTGATAGTGAATTATACACAAGCATGGATTGCTAGAATACTCTGTGCCCAAACATGTGAGTAACAATTGCACAGGGCACATATGTCGTCATAATTGAAATTGTTGTCAGGACAGTACATTCAGCAATACTGTTTCAGTCACAAAGTTAAACCACCCGTTTATCATACTTGCAACATAATAGCAAGCAATAACATGACATTAACTTGATGAAAATGAATGAATACTTCATATAATAGTGGTAGTGAATCTACATGTACATAGATAACATTTATAGAATTGATATACATACATGTACTACTACTGCTCATTTTACATATTTACTATTTTGTTTCAGATACTCATATACTCAGGCCTTCTCCTTATTTTCGAAGGTATGGAAAACCCAATTGCTTTATTACTTTTTTCATAACTCTGTACAGGATTCTACCAAAGATAAAAATGAATTAGCCATGGTGGCTATATAAATGTACTCCATCATTTTTCTTAGCGTGCAATCACCAACTTGTTTGGTCACTTTGCAAACATGAAAAATAACAAAATTATTCAGCTTCATGTAACAAATTGACTTACTTGACTTAATTCCTTGTCTCTTCGTGGAGATTAGGGCTAGTTGGTTTCCCTAATCACAGCTTTTTCCAGGGTAAGGTGATTACCCCGACGCCCAACCTCCAACCTGGAGGACCAGTTGAACTGTATTTCGTCTCTTCTCTGCATGGTTAAACATGCCAGGGGATTTCTCCTCGCTGACACAGCTCGTAGGGTAACTAAGAACCCCAAGCCTCTCCACCACGGCAAGGTAACAGTTCAGGGAGTAGTGCTGTAACACTTAATATAAAACAATATTATGTTTCCCTGATGTTTAATTTCTAGACATTTCTGGTGGTGATGTTTGTATATAATGACCATTTTCTCTCTGAATAATTGAAATTACTCTTAGCTATTGGTGGTGAAAGTGACGTAATATGTTGTAGCCTAAATGTAAATGTAATTCATTATTTGAGTGTATTTTAGTGTAAGGGTTACTGGAAACCCAGTTATTATTAGTTGTTATCCTTGTAAAGAGTATGAGCTTGGCAGAAATTGCTGCACCCAAATACAAGTAGACTGTTGACAGTCCTCAGGTCTAATTTGTTAGTATATTAAATCAGCAAACACTGAAGCTGTTTACAAGAAATTCCACAGGCATTTCAGCGAAGGCCACAATGTCACCTGAGGGTGTTTACAAACGTTAACAGTCATCAGGCCTCCAGCCTTTGCTGAAATGCTTATGGCATTTCTTGCAAACACCTTTAGAGTTTGCTGATTTAATATACTAAAAAAATCAGGCCTGAGGACTGTCGACAGTCTATTAAATATACAACTATCATTTTATACATTGTGTATACATTGTGAAGGCAGTATCTTTTCATTCACTGTTACTTGTTTTAGTTAAATTTGTTTGTTAATTTGTTAGCTTGTTATTTTTTAAATTTTAGCTGTAAAAAACATTTCTTTAATTATGTCGCTGTTTTTCTTGCAGTCACTATGAAAGTACAGATAAAACTGGTAACAAAAGTATTGCAATTGAAAATGGTTTTGTTCAAACCAAAGATGGATTCTCTGTTAACACAAAAATCAGGATTCTGTCTGAAGAACTCAGCTACAATAAGGTATACATTGACACTTAGAAAACCTAAGTCAACTTTTGTCTGAAATTTTCTGAAATAAACTTAATTTTTTACTCCCATGTGCGAAGCACACAATGGGAGTTTTTGCAGTTACCCTGTCTGTATGTGTGTATGTGTGTGTGTATGTGTGTGTGTCCGTCTGTTCCACTGATATCTCAAGAACCATACATCGTTTTTTGATGAAACTTGGTGCATAGATGCTCTGGGCCAATGCGCAGATTTGATTAGGTTTTGGTAGAAATCCATGCATATTAATTACCTAATTTGCATGATAATCAGCTCATTTTTAGCTATTCCATGACTAATTTCACTAATTTAGTCCACTAATTTCTAAAGAACCACTCATTGGATTTTGATGAAACTTGGTTCATTGATGCTCTGAACTAATGCTAGGTTTTGATTAGTTTTGGATGAAAATCTGTGAATATTAATTACCGAATAATGATTAGTTAATTTTCGGCTTTTCCACTGATATCTCAACTACTGATCTTTGCATTTCAATGAAACTTGGTACCTAGATGTCATAGGACACTGCACAGACCTAGTAGTTTTTAGGGTATATCAGTACATATTAATTACCTAATTTGCATAATAAATTAATTTTCAGCTTTTGATATTTCAAGTAGTAAGCATTACATTTCAGTGAAACATGGTACATATATACTCAAGGACTATGCACAGATCAATTGTTTTGGGATAAATATTTGTGCATATTAATCACCTAATTTGCATAATTAGTTAATTATCGGATTTTCACGTATATCTCAAATACTAATCATCACATTTCAATGAAATTTTGTACATAGATGCTCTAGGACAATGTATAAATATGATCAGTTGTGGGTTAAATTAGCATAATAATTCATAATTATGATCTGATCACATTTCAATAAAACTTGGTACATAGATGGTCTGTTACATTGCGCAGACCTTATTAGTTTTACACTTTGTTCATTTTAATTTCATGATTTGCATAATTATTTTTCAGCTTTTCCATCAATATCTCAAGTACAAGTAATTTTGAATTAATTTTTACTGTGTCTCTAATACTCTCAGCACACGGGAGTTCTTTCTAAGCTTTCTTTGATTTCATATATTTTCAAAAATATTGATCAAGACTGGTAGCAAATAGGGGATTATGTCAATTTGGCCTAAAAATAACAGAAAAACATTATACAAAAATACATAAAATGTTGCGCCATAATTGTGGTGAAAAAAATGTTAAAGTTAAGAGTTGTTGGATAAGCGAATCACTATTTGTATCTCAGCAGCTGCAATCCACCCTGCCACATTTGATAATGTATCCTTCAAACTCTTTTCTGCATCCATAGTTCCATTGCCTTACACAGTACACACAGTGTACTGATTATATCATGATTTGTCATATACTGCATAGTATGATTTGCTATAACAAAAAATTTATATTATTTACTTTCAGGATTATAAACCATTCAAGATTTTAATAATAGAAAAACCATTGGATCCAAGGTTCAGGGTGAGTATTATTTACAGTATCAGTATATTGAAGCATATGATTAAAGGTTACTATTGGTAACAAGGCAGAGATTTCAGAAAAATAATTGAACTGTTATAATAAGTACTTTTTGTACTTGATTATGTTAGAAATCTAATCACATTTTTTTATTTGCAGACTGGCAACTTTGTTTCATTGTCGCCTGTAGATACGTATACTAATAGCATATCATTTCAGGAGTAAGTGATTTCTTTGTATATGTATGTGTAAACAGAGTAATGATTTGATGAACCATTAATTAAATGTGTCTATTCTACAACATTATACCTTGAGATCTCATAGTTATGTAAGTGTCTAGTGAACAACTTTACAAACAAACATCCTACAATGATCATGATGCGATATTTACTTTTCAATTTTGACTTTCAGAAACAAGAAACTTCTGTTTCAATTTCCGGAACACAGAGTGCCTTTGTCAATTTTAGATCAGAACATTAAACAATTTAACATGAATTATATGATATTGCAAGGTTACTTGGACCATGCTGCAATGAAGTTACAGGATATGTGTTTTACTGCTACTGAGGTAAAAATGCTCTACTTAGAAAATCATCTTTTTGTAGAAGTGCTCATCAAGCCAAAATATTTTTTTATTGTACATATTGTTTTTCCATAGATACACTCATTTATGTAAAGGTGTATGTTACTTTTGGTTTATGTACCGATATAGTCAAACCTGTGTTTAGAAACTACCCAATATGAACAGTGTTTATAGACAGGTGGTCTTGTATGGAGGTTGAATTATCTTTTCTTGAACTGCCACCTCATACATTTCAAACTATGTTTAAAAACAAATACTGTAGATAACTTTATTTCGCTGAAGGGATGATTTCGTGAAAATAAAATTCAGCGAATATACTTTTTTTCCTATATTTCACATTAAACTCATGAAAAATCAGTGAAAATAAATTCAAAGCAAAACGCCCAAAAAGCCTTTTCAGCGAAAATTAATTCCAGCGAAAGTAAAGTATTCCACAGTAATTTGTTTCTGTTCCTGTTCCAAATTTGTTTGATGTTAACAAAATCAAGTTTGACTTAAAAATTATTTTATAAACAGAATTTTGGTTCTTAAGCAAAGACAATTAAAAATATTGGTCACATAAGACAGGTATTTTTTTTACCCTGGTTGCTCATACATTATGTCATAATAGGCTTTTTTTTCTTTGAACTAATGCTGTAATAGTTTTATTTCATATGATTGCCCTATCAAAATATAAGTAAAAAAAATAGTTGACTATTATATGTACATGCAAAACTCAAATTTGCAGTAATATTACCGCCAGTCCAAATTTTAAGTTAGATGCATCAAAATTAAAGTTGTATGTGTTACATTACCCAATGGATACTAAAAAAAATTTTTAATTTGCAAAAAAAATTTTACTAGTGTTCATTTGCATTTTTTTGTTATGAAATATATAAATATTTCTATGGTATACACTGGAGTCTACTAAGCCATGTACGTTATAATTTATTTATAAACCAAAATGATTCCAGTTACATATTGTATGAACTTGTGCAGCGTCTGTCACATATTTGGCAGATGAAAACAGTAGATCATGGTAAGCTGAGAAAGTGTTGTGAAATCTCAAGCCATCATTGACTGGTCTGATTGATTCTTGAATGGATGGAGCAATCTGCCTAGTCTATCCAATTATCTTTTTTATTAATTGAATTAGATTAAATTCAAATAAAAACAGTTGGATTTATAAGTATAAAAAATTTATTTTATAAAAATAAACAAAGATTTGTTGATTTATAAGCGTGATTTGATTTTGATTCGCAGAGCATTTTGAAAGTTAACAGAAATACGCGACGTAATGCAGACAGGAGAATGGTTGATATATTGACAATTGCAGTTGAAAGGTAAACATTTTGTCTGTGCATGACAAATTTATATTTTTCTCATTTTGCTTAATAATTTGTGTAAATGTTTGGTCAAAAACATAAGTCTGAATTCTGTGTTGGCATATGCCGGTCATCCTAAAATAAGAAATTATTATAGATTAATAATTAATTATTATTATAGAATGCATGCATGTCGTATTATCATATTATAGCTAGTTTTTACTGAGTTGCACTTTCACTTTGCAATATAGTGAGGTATCATTCCCTGGCCAATATGTGCACTGTCAATGTTGACGTCGTGGAAGAGCAATGGAGAGATACAGAATATGAATTGAAGTGAATCTCCTAAATTAAACTAGCTTTGTAAACAATAGACACTCATTTGAAGGGTTTGTTTTATCGTTGGTATGTTTGATAAAAATATATTTATACAATTTGTGTTTTTATCTTATCTGGGAGTGATATTTCATATACAAAGTAGGAATGCAATTATAGCTGGTAATCTCAGTACTATTATTCATGTAAACTGTAAATATAACACTGATCATATTTTATTTCACATAGTTATGTTATGGGGTGTGTTCATAGCAAAGTATTCCCGGCTGTCTGTCAGAAGTGTTGTAGAGATGATAACAAAATCTGTAGCAAAGAGAAAGAACTCCAAGGAGTTGGAGGTGACGAATTTGGTGTCAAAACTGAGTTTTGCTGTCCACTACCAGCATCAGTGAGTATTCATTTACCCTCAAACTAGCTTAGAATCTAGAACCTACCGGTAGGCTTAGATGATGACATTTTCAATCAACCAATCAAATTTAGTCAATAGCTGACAGTGATTAAATATTACTAGCATCATACCTAGATATAATTGATGGCATTTTCAAACAACCAATCAAATTTACAGTCAATAGCTGACAGTGATTAAATATTACTAGCATCATACCTACGCTTAGTTGATGGCATTTTAATTCAACCAATCAAATTTACAGTCAATAACTGACCATGGTAAGATATTACTAGCATCATACCTAGGCATAGTTGATGGCATTTTAATTCAACCAATCAAATTTACAGTCAATAACTGACCATGGTAAGATATTACTAGCATCATACCTAGGCATAGTTGATGAAATTTTCAATCAACCAATCAATTTTACAGTCAATAGCTGAAAACAATGAGATATCACGTTTTTCAATATTGCATATTTTTTGTATCAATGTGTTTTCTGATGAATCTATTCATAGCATTCATACATGGTATATTTACCATACTAATGAATTGTGCAATGTTTTACGTTATGTAGGTTGTTGAATTAGCAAGATTGGATGGACTCTACACCCCACTTGAAAAATTGTTTTGTTTAAAATCTACGTTGGTGAGAATTGTAATTTCATATATACACTCATCACTTCACATTGTTTTGTATTATACGTACATGTATTATATTAGTATCTGTTGTGGGTTTTTTCTGCCCTCTAGTATGGACTATAATTAAATCTAATCCCATGTATTTGCATATCGTTTAGACCAAGTTGTGTCCATGCATAAAAGTTACTTGGGGACAACCAAACTTACCAAGAAATTGTCAGTTCTTTTAATTTTGATTTCTCATTAAGATAACCAGTTTTACTCCATGTTCCTTGCATGTAGGGAATAACACGAAATGAATAGTCATAAATATAACAGTAAATATTTCAAATGGACAACACATACAATATTGTTTTGTTGCCAGAGGTCATCCTTCAGGGCACTTAGATTGAACCAGCTATTTCTTTGCTCATACTGAGGATTTGCACATGTTTCACTGTACAATTTACAACTACGATTTTTGACCTCTTAGACCATGCTAAGGAACTTTGCATGAATACAACTATTATGTGTTTATATATATGGTTTGTGTTAATTATAGGATTGTATATCAGAAGAAGTGAATTACTTTGCTAAAGACAATGTGGTAGCTGGTAATGAAGTACCATGCATTGCGTCAGATGATCTTATACCTCTACTGGTAAGCAAAGTCCACAATCATGAAGCGGATCTGCCATTACTTAGTCAGAATGTGTCCAATATTGCATTTGTCATCCAGTGTTTGTATTTTAATAGCAAGAAAGAAACAATATTAATTTGACTTTCTTGGTGAAAATAAAAAAGTTGCTTAGTGTAACATTTGTGTTAAGACAATAATGTTTATATCCATCCGTGTTAAAATGATTGGTTACCTTATTATGGTCATCATTAGGGTCAATGCCATTAAGATACCAGGAATAGAAAAATAATTGGTGTCATCGAACAAGTCCAAAATTGTGGTGTGGAATATGACAGAAATTTTGCATTTTAACACTGGTTTCTATGGTGAAATTATTTCTTCACAATGAATCCTGAAATTTTATTTGGTGACATTATTGATATGAATCCTAATGCTGTTAAAAAAACACATTTAATTTTGTGTGTTACTTGTGTCATAATATATTCCTAAAAAGTACAACGAGTAATCCTCTCCCACAATGCATTGTATATATGTGCAGTAACATGCTCAGTAGTGCAAAATTTGAATTCAACTCCCACAATGCATTGCATATATGTGCAGTAACATGCTAAGTAGTGCAAAATTTGAATTCAACTCCCACAATGCATTGTATATATGTGCAGTAACATGCTCAGTAGTGGCAAATTTGAATTCGACTCAAACTGTCTTGAAGTTACTATGGATTCAAAAATAAAGGGTGATAACATTACATTTTATTTTGCTCATTGCTGAAACTTAGGTTATTTTTGCTTAAAGTTGTATCGTTATTCCATTTCAGGTAACAGTACTCATCCAGTCTAAAAGCACTCATTTAATCAGTAATTTGTATTATATAGAACATTTTCACTGGGCAACAACGTCAAAAGATGATCTCAGGTTAGTCATACACTCAGTTAATGTTTAATAAATACAGCTAATCTGTATTTCAGATAATTATCACATTTGTATCATGTATATCTGACCTGTGTAATGGAATCTGCCTCAGTGTGAGCCTTATTCATGACAGAACTTTTTCAGTAAATCAAATAGAAAGTATTAATTATTCAATTAAGTTCAGTAAAATTTGTACATGTACAGGGTACATGTAGCATGTTTTATGATAAATCTATAAATTTTTAAAAGAAATCACTGAAAACCATTCGACCAATCACAGTAATTTTGAATTTGACATCACTAGTGTAGATGAAATGATCTGAGTGTCATCCAATCAGCAATCAGTTTCACACTTAGAGAATGATACAAAAGTTCATTCCAGCGTCTCTCATTTCAATTGAGAATCAAAATATTTTCCAAAAAATTACAGTTATTGAATTCACTTGGTAATCTGAAATGCATATATACATGTGTCACATATATACTTTTGTATTATTTAGTTTCAGTCTAGTGACATTTAAGGCTGCTACAGAATATTTTCTGAACACTGATTTTTCACATCTCAAACCACTTGCACCGAAGATGAGAAATGAGGTAAGTGGTTGCTGCTACATTTGGTAATTATTATTGATATTGACAATGATGTGACGTGACTCCTTCAATTGTTGTGATGAGCAAGACTTTGGAAATTTGTTAGTTTGAAATTACGAGACTTTAGTTTGGAGACAATTAGTAGCAATCCAACAAGTTAAATTTATAACATTTTAACATGTGCTACCAGTACATGATTTGTGTCTGTAATATGTTAGCTAGAATGAAAATTTCTGCTGTTGGTTTGAAATCTATGGATAATCTTGATAAACTGGGTTTTAAGTATAGGATAAAGCTTGAGTACAAAGATTTACTATTTCCATAGCAACTGGATCCAGATCTCGTCTAATGTAATTGGTTGTTTTGAAGGAGAATCCTTCCCTAAAGAAAATTTTATAGTACAAGTGTTATCATTGGTTACTTGTTAATATATAGTCGTTATTACTATTTTTAATTTAAATTAAACATCTTATTAATACCGGTACTTCTTTTTATGGACACACCCCCCCCCTCATGGGCATGTAAATTAAAAATCATTCTCAAAGTTGTTGTTTCCATGGTTACCAGATCCTTCTCCACCAAAATTTATTAGATTGGCATTTTGAATGAAAATTAGTTCCTGGAATGAATGTTTCCATGGCAACCGTATCTACAAATTTCACAAACAAACATACACTGGCAAAAATGTTATTGAAAAATCCTTGGCTGACTAATTGCATGCATTTTTTGTAAACTTCATATCTGTAATATACTAGATGACACTAGAAGAAATTCTTCTTGCCAAAAAAGAACAAGAAAATGAAACTGGGGAAAAAGGTGAGAGAAGCAGAGACAGCCATAAAGTAGCATACAGAACACGTGGAGGTTCATTCAACAGAGAATTAGACAATATAACAAGAATGATAGAAAAAACTACTACTAGTCCTACAAATACAACTACTCCAATGAAATCTCTTTTTGCCGGTAAGTCAAACAACTGTGATACTTTAGGATGTGTCTTAATTTGTGTATGTTAAGCCCTGCTCAGATTGATCTAGTACAAAGGTATAACACTGCTCAGTAAAAGAATGACCTTGCTAACCAAAGAAAACTGCCTATTCATACAACATCCCTTATAATCTATATCAATTATCCTGTTTATCAAATAATGTATTTAGTATATTACCGGTAGTAGCAATTATGTGAATGAAAGAGTTGTGTTTATGGGTCACAAATTTTAATGATATGCCATACATGTGCAATAAATGTAATTTTTATGTGCACTTCTATTGGCCATATGGTAGGAGCAAATATGATAGTGGTTGATACTTATCTGTTTTAGAATATGACCAAGTCCAAGCAAGTGGTTTTGCTCAGAGATCTACAGTTGTACCTCCAGACGTGATCCCTTCATCATCAGCACACACAAGACTACAAACTCCACTTGGGTAAGCATGACTAAGCTCAAGGTTGTTGCATTTGCATATTCATGTCATATTTTATTACAGTATTATTGACATATCATCAGGATTTATGATGTAAAATTTATTGGAGCCAGTAGGAAAAGTAGAGTAAAGTTGGTTATCATTATCAAATGTTTTTTTGGTTGTATACAAAGTCTTGATGTGAGCCATGATGTTTTGTGCATGATTTGACCTACAACCTTTGATCTGATAGGTTAAGTACAATCTATGTTATTAACCAATCAGAATGCTGTGCAATTCTCCAGGAATTCTCAAATAATAGCATTCTTATAAAAAAAGAGGATTTGAATTACCAATATTGAACTGCAATTCGTTGGTATTGATTTTAGGGACAAAACTACAGAGTACAATGGCTGTGCACTGGACATTTGTGGTCAAACAAATTTCTGGATTTTGAAAGAGATTGCATATGTGACCCCGAATGTAAATATCATGCAAAAATTAGGGATGCTTGACCAAACATCTAATTTTATTATTTGAACAAGTTATTGACCATTTCCTTGGCATGTTTTAGCAGATTCCATTCAAGCTTATTAGGAGCAACTCACATGAAGTACTGATGCATGTTGATTTGTTTCGTGAATCGGTTCAAAATGGCTGACTGATGGCCACGTTGGTTTTACCGTTTCTCGGTCATACTTTGACCAATTTTGTTCAAAAAAGTCTTCTTTGGTAGCACATTATTATGCTGAATACTCCTCCAACATTGAATATAATTATATTTTTTTTTATTGTTTATAATTCACACAGTCACTAAGAACTTGATAATTGAAAATGACTTATTCACATTCATTTCAGGGACTTTCTATCATCTTTGAAGAATGATGTATTGGATGGTACTTATGGAAAAGGAGATTGAATAATATCACAAGTTTTACAAATTGGAAAAAAGCTACTACAGCTATATTCTGCAAATCTACATAGCTGTTCGCAAAACTACATTGCTGCTGAAGTCTGCTTCCAGTCAATACAGATGATACAATCTTCAGTCCATTTTGCTGTTACAGTCCTCAACCAATCTACATAGCTGCTGCAGTTGCCTACCAATCCACACAGTTGATACAGTCTTCCAGTCCACATAGCTACTGCAGTTGCCTATCAATCTACACAGTTTCTGCAGTCCTCTAGTAATCTACATAGCTACTGCAGTTGCCTACTGGTCCACACAGTTGCTACGGTCCTATAGTAATCTACATATCTACTGCAGTTGCCTACCAATCTACACAGTTTCTGCAGTCCTCTAGTAATCTACCTAGCTACTGCAGTAGCCTACCAATCTACACATTTGCTGCAGTCCTCTAGTAATCTACATAGCTACTGCAGTTGCCTACCAATCTACACAGTTGCTGCAGTCTTCTAGTAATCCACATAGCTACTGCAGTTGCCCACCAGTCTACACAGTTGCTGCAGTCTTCTAGTAATTTACAAAGCTACTGTAGTTGCCTACCAGACTACACATTTTCTGCAGTCCTCTAGTAAACTACATAGCAACTGCAGTTGCCTACCAGTCTACACAGTTGCTGCAGTCTTCTAGTAATCCACATAGCTACTGCAGTTGCCCACCAGTCTACACAGTTGCTGCAGTCTTCTAGTAATTTACAAAGCTACTGTAGTTGCCTACCAGACTACACATTTTCTGCAGTCCTCTAGTAAACTACATAGCAACTGCAGTTGCCTACCAGTCTACACAGTTGCTGCAGTCCTCTAGTAGTCTACATATCTACTGCAGTTGCCTACCAGTCTACACAGTTGCTGCAGTCTTCTAGTAATCTACAAAGCTACTGTAGTTGCCTACCAGTCTACACATTTTCTGCAGTCCTCTAGTAAACTACATAGCTACTGCAGTTGCCTACCAGTCTACACAGTTGCTGCAGTCCTCTAGTAATCTACATATCTACTGCAGTTGCCTACCAGTCTACACAGTTTCTGCAGTCCTCTAGTAATCTACATAACTACTGCAGTTGCCTACCAATCTACACAGTTGCAGCAGTCCTCTAGTAAGCTACATAGCTACTGCAGTTGCCCACCAGTCTACACAGTTGCCTCAGTCTTCCAGTAATCTACATATCTACTACAGTTGCCGACCAGTCTACACACTTGCTGCAGTCCTCTAGTAATCTAAATACTCACTGCATTTTCCTACCAATCCACAGTTGCTGCAGTCCTCTAGTAATCTACATAGCTACTGCAGTTGCCCACTAGTCTACACAGTTGCTGCAGTCATCTAATAATCCACATAGCTACTGCAGTTGCCTACTGGTCCACACAGTTGTTGCAGTCATCTAGTAATCTACATATCTACTGCAGTTGCCTACCAGTCTACACAGTTGCTGCAGTTTTCTAGTAATCAACATAGGTACTGCAGTTGCCCACCAGTCTACACAGTTGCTGCAGTCTTCTAGTAATCTACATAGCTACTGCAGTTGCCTACCAGTCTACACAGTTTCTGCAGTCCTCTAGTAAGCCACATAGCTACTGCAGTTGCCTACCAGTCTACACAGTTTCTGCAGTCTTCTAGTAATCCACATAGCTACTGCAGTTGCCTACCAGTCTACACAGTTGCAGCAGTCTTCTAGTAATCTACATAGCTACTGCAGTTGCCCACCATTCTACACAGTTGCTGCAGTTTTCTAGTAATCCACATAGGTACTGCAGTTGCCCACCAGTCTACACAGTTGCTGCAGTTTTCTAGTAATCCACATAGGTACTGCAGTTGCCCACCAGTCTACACAGTTGCTGCAGTCTTCTAGTAATCTACATAGCTACTGCAGTTGCCTACCAATCTACACAGTTGCAGCAGTCTTCTAGTAATCTACATAGCTACTGCAGTTGCCTACCAGTCTACACAGTTTCTGCAGTCCTCTAGTAAGCCACATAGCTACTGCAGTTGCCTACTGGTCTACACAGTTGCTGCAGTCTTCTAGTAATTCACATAGCTACTGCAGTTGCCTACTGGTCTACACAGTTGCTGCAGTCTTCTAGTAATCCACATAGCTACTGCAGTTGCCCACCAGTCTACACAGTTTCTGCAGTCCTCCAGTAATCTACCGGTACATAACTACTGCAGTTGCCTATCAATCTAATTGCTGCAGTTAAGTACTTCTTGAGATCAATCATCACGTCTGAGGAAATAAATTATAGTGAAGATATGGAATAATTTGCATACCTATAGATAAATAATAGTTTTGCTATTTTCACAATTTCAAAGATGATAAAACTGACTGGCCACTGAATCACTGTTTAGTAAAAAGAGATTGATAGTTATTTTTTTTACTGTTTTGACAGATTTTTATATATTTACGCTGTCCTAGCTTTCTTGACTTGTTCAATAACCTATTTAAATTATGTAAATATGCAAATGTGGTCATCAAAACATTTACCAGTGTTGGATTTGGATACAATTTTATACATAAATGTGTTCTGAGACATATGTGTTGATTAACAAACAATGCAAAGTGACTTTGTGATCAGCATGTACTTGTAGAATGCCGTACACTACCGGTAATCTCCTTAATCAGTAATTATTTATTTACTTGGCTTGTTAAACACTATACTTATTTATTTCTTAAATAATTATGTTTATGAATAGTTTATTAATTGGTTTAAATAATGTTAAATATTTTTCTGAAAGAGGCTGTTTTTGTTTGCAATTTGATTTTAAAATGATAGGTTTATTATTTAAGGATGGACGTAGCTGAATGGGAGTTCTCTGAAATGTGTTCAGACTTGATCCTTGTGACAGACTTTTTGTTAAGTTTGAAGAAAAAATACCATTGTTTGGTATTTGGTTACCAATGCTGATCTTTAACAGAAACCAATGTTGAATGAATTGTGACCAATTTACAATTGAAATAGACCATCATAGTAGGGCTTATGGGGAAACAACAAAGCCATTGTTTCCATGGAAACAATCTTGTGTAACCCATCTTTTTATTTGAATTTTGTCATTCAAGAGATTGATCACACTTGAAAGTAAAATTGCACATGGAGGGTCATACTATATCAGTATCAATCTTCAACTTTGACCCTAATAGCATACTACAACATTAGTGGGTTGATGTACCTCCTGATTCCTACATCAAATAACATGTGATTTATTACATATCAGTGAAAATAAATCTGTCAATGCAAATTTTAGTTTTCAGTAAAAATTAAGTAAATCACAGTATATTATAGATAAATATAAAGCTTTCCATTGATACTCACTCTTTTCTAAATATGGACTACTTTTTGCTGGACAATCGTAGTAGTTCAATTTGTATAATTGGGATACAGTTTTATTTGTTTTATTAATGTAGAAACAAACTCATTTTTAATCTCTATAAGGAGCTTGTTTTTAATCTCTATAAAGTACATCAACTTTCCAAGGTGTTTTCTATCTGTTCCTGTTATAATACATTACACTGTATGTAATTGAAATACACCATCACCCTTCATTTACCCCTGAGTCTGATGAGTAACTGTAAAACTTATCAAGTAATCATTTTTGTTTTAAAGCTACATTATGTAAAACTTCAGTGAATTGGAGTTATTTATTGTTATATTTTATTGCATGTGCAATATCTTGGCTGGGATTTTTATTAAATGTCTTTAGTTGTAATAAGAATTGTGTTTTTTTTCCTGTTGTTCATATGTGTGTGTGGGTACGTGCATGCATGCGGGTGCGCACAGGTGTGGGTATAGATGAGTGGGTGTGGTGGAGGGGAGATTTCAACTTGTCTAATGTTAGAAGGGTAGTAAATGAGAATCAGTGAGTGCTATTTATGTTTGTATGCATTTACAATACAAATAAAAACTATCCATCATAAAAATGCCCAACCAACAGATACAGAACGAAATAGAGAAATTGTGTCATGTCAACAATTAATTATTCGTATTATAAAGGCAATAGTGAAAATGCCAAAATAATGTGTTTTTGCATAGACCCTCCATGGTTTTTGTCACAAATTTAACAAAGAATGCATGTTCTGTTATGTATTGTGTGACAATCTGCTGAAAAAAAATATTTAGGGTTGATATTTGTCTCAATTTGCATTTCCCATTATTGTTGATTTTGTGTCCTGAAATACCATAATTCTTTTAAACTAAATCTAAAAAGTTTACCCATTTGTTCTTTTTAATTAGCTATTTAATATTGATACTTTAGAAAATTTAGTGAGCTTATTTAGCCAGCTTCCAATGAGACGTCAAACAAAGGTGAATTTTATGTATACATTGTATTTGTTTTTTTCTACACCACAACATACATCCAGACATGCACCATATTCTGAGCTATGAATGTGTTCACTTCAATATAAATAGCTGACAGTGTTCAACCAAAAATGCCATTATAACTAGGAGTGGTCAACCAACCAGGTAGTGGTCACTAGGAAGGAGTGCTCAACCAATCAGGTCGTTGACACTAGGAGTGGTCCATCAACCAGACTGTTGTCACAAGGAGTGGTCCATCAACCAAACAGTTGTCACCAGGAGTGTTCAACCAATCAGATCGTGGTCACTGGGAATGCTCAACCAATCACGTCGTTAACACTAGGAGTTTTTAACCAATCACGTCGTTGACACTATGAGTGTTCAACCAATCAGGTCATGATCACTACAAGTGCTCAATCAATCACGTCGTTGTCACTAGTAGTGTTCAAACAATCAGATCGTGGTCACTAGGAGTGCTCAACCAATCACGTCGTTGACACTAGGAGTGTTCAACCTATTACGTCGTTTACATTAGGAGTGTTCAACCAATCACGTCGTTGACACTAGGAGTGTTTAACCAATCACGTCGTTGACACTAGGAGTGTTCAACCAATCAGGTCGTGGTCACTAGGAGTGCTCAACCAAT